GTCAAGTTCCAAATGACTATCAGTGATAACTATAAAATGTTTATTTGAAGCAAAAAAGCGAGTAGGCAGTTGGGAGCGTTCGGCTGCGAGTTTATTTCGAACCACAAGAAAAGTTACTAAATAGACGAATGCCTGCTTACTTTTCGGTTTAATTTTACAAAGTCGAATAATAAAACGAATGGCGTCGTATATGTAATACAATATAGTGAATGGTGGTGGATGTGGATATTTCTTTGAATATTCATCATATATTAAGAAACGTTGATATGACCATTCGAAACGTGCACGATCTGCAACATTTTGAATTGTAGTACTAGAGAAAGATAAACAAAACACACAACACTATACACTTTTGTATCGAGCAAACATAAGAGGAAAACTCATACTTAAATAATGCTACTAATACATTTAATAGCAGTGCACTGGCTATACAGATAAATATGACTGTCAGAACAAATGTCGTATTACCATATGCATCATTCATTGCTGAAAATGCAACAAATGTGTTATATGCGCTGCCTAAACTAAAAATCTAAGCAAACCTCCTGCTAATGTTGTATTATCTGCTTGTTCTACACCTATAAGGTCAGTGTCTCCAAATACTCTCCATACTCCCCAGGCAAAGACATTTCGTAGTAAATTCCAATTCCATGTTCCGGCACCATCGCTTAATGTGTAAGAATAATTACCATATGGACCACCATCTTTATTTGAATACCAAGTAACTTGATCTCCCGTTGTTATTAAGGAATAAGTAGATACAGAATAACCAAGTATAAATATTAATATGAAACACACGAAGAAGGATAAATCTCGCATCTATAAACACGAAAGAACAATAATAATTTTTATAAAATTTATTGCGCGATCGTTTCTGGCTTCCCTAGCACAAAAAATCTATATTGAACATTGGAAATTATAGCTTGAAAGCTAAGAAGTGTTTCTATCCTGTGGCTGACTCTGCAAAACTTTTGTCATTCTACCTCTATTCTGCTCTACGACCTTCGTACCTGATCCTCTTCTAACCTGTAACTTCCAGCCCTTCCACTAATATGTCCTGGACAACAGGTTAAGGTTAGCGGACACATCCCTCTAATTCATAACAAAACTGTGAATGAAAAGTAAGCGAACAGTCGGAACCCATCGGCGCTCAGTTTTATATGAAGCTGTCTTCATAACTTACTTACAGTTAGGAATATCATTGATAATCTAGTCCCTAAGGAGCCACCATATGCTGCACATAAATGTAACATTCTCATATACCATAAAAATAAATCTATAGCCAAACATATTCTAAAAGTAATTAAAAAACAAAAATCTAATTATATTAGATTAATGCAAGGTTTCAGCGCATTTACTTTGATGCTATAAATATTTGTTCAGTTGCATTATCTGAAAAGCGTATAACGAATGCAACTAGATACAAGAGTATAACTGGAAGATCCAAAGCATTCCAATAATTATCGGTAAAATATGTTATTACAATATGACTCCATTTACTGTCATCCCCAATGAAATCGGATTTCTCTTTACAATGAGCATAAAACTATAACGATAATCAAAAGAGTGAATGAATGATACATATAATCTTACGCGGAAACTATTTCGAGTGTCCCCTCGCTTTTTTAACGAAACCTGGTGGACAATAGGTATTCGAGTATCCTGAGCCGAATGTCATAGTGATTTGGACCTCTAGGCCACCAGAGACCGGGTTTCTGGAAAATCAGTTTTACCTGCTAGCAGCAGGTTTAACTGCTCCCTTGCGCGGGCTACAATCCTGCCTCATTAAGAAAAGTTTTGGTAATTTTTAGAGTTTCTGAAAAACTGGTTTTCCAGAAATCCGATCTCTGGAGGTCCAAATCACTATGATATTCGGGTTCAGGACCCTCGCTTATCTATTTTCCACTAGGTTTCGTTAAAAAAGCGAGGGGATACTCGAAATACTTAGGGCAATCCAAAAGTAGTGTCGTCCCCACCGTATTTCCTT